AAATAACTTTCCTAGGAGCCTTCCTATTATTTCATATCCACAGGTGGCAAGAAATGACAGGAAAACAAAACAAAAACCATTTAGCTTTACATAACTATACCACGCAGCCATCATGTCACATAATCTAATGACCTGATTGAATAAAAGAAGTGAGCAAACTAGAACCTGCTATGAATAGCTATTTAACTGTGTATTCAAAGTTTAGATGTACAGGTAGATAGTCTTAAGCTATTTTTACACCATTTCAATACATCTTCTCTCTTCCTATTACAGAGATGAATATCTACTTTCATATAACACCATCAGCCATAGTGCAGACTTCTAATATAGACTTCTGAAAACATTTATAGCCATATGTATCATTTAAGCAGAAGTGAAAAAACACTAATAATTGAACAGAACCACACTCATGATGATATACAAAACGTTAAAGAAAATCCATTATTTATTAGCTTTGTCACTCTACTACCATAGATTTTTCAGAGGTCTCATAGTTCAAATGACTGTAATTTACAGCACAATATGTGCAGAAATGTCACTTACCTCACATTAGCATCAAGTTCGTCCATTACAGGAAATAGGCATGGGTGAGCTGGGTGTCAGTGCCCACAGGGTCCTATAATGTGGTAACAAATAAGAGGTTAGACCATAAGGTAATGTAGGAAAATAAAAGCCCTTGTTAAAGGAAAAATGTCAAATAATCATTGTTTCCTATTTATTAAGACTTTTATAGAGTATCAGAAAAGTATTTAATAAGCAATACTACAGCAAAAAGCTATTGGCATATTGAGGTATGGCATGGCTGAATTTTGCAAAAAGTTTCTTTACATTTTACTAATCTCCTGGAGATTAAAACATATGGGTATTCCATTTTACTCTGTGTTAATCAGTTTATTTGTTATTTTTTGCTCTTCTCGGAAACACAGTTTATTTATATGTGTATGATCTGCATTAGGACACTAGCTAGTGAAAATAGGTAAGTACATTGCTATGATTAAAATAATACATTGTGTAAAATGGCCATTTCATTCCCTGTGAGGATTTTCAGGGGTTTGTTTTGTTTTGTTTACCCTTTTTGAGGGTGGGTAATCACATAGCAAA